GGCTGCTGCCTTTACTGACGTCACCTTTTTGGAGGACTAAATCTCTCTGCAGAGCCATCCATCCTTAGCTGGAAGTCTGTATAAGGACATCCTGTTAGAGAAGAACAGAATGAACATTTTCTCCAACTTGGTAAAAAGTTTGTTTGCTTTTGTTGTTGCTTCCTGTGCCTTTCAAACTCATTATATTCATGTCATTTCCCATTCATTGCGTATTTTCTCTGCTTAGATTTTATAAATGTTTCAGGTCCTGATTTGATACCCATTTCTGTTGTAGCTTGTTGGATTCCTTATGGCTGCTCCTTCTCATGCTATTAGTCTCTAGAGGATGACAAATTCAGTAGAACAACTGAGGATGTGGAATCTGAGAGATTTATGTTGTCCCTGCCTTCAGATACAGCCATTCCAAAAAATAAAATTAATAGGAATCTGGAAAGATTTATTGCTACATTAATTAACAAAGAGTCATTTCAATAATCTACCAAAAAAATCACATCACTTTTCAGCAACCAAGCGCTGCTTTCTTGAATGTTTGGGTTTTACTAATGTATAAAGTCACATCCTAAAGGATACAATTCACTATAACAAAATATTTTTGATACTTTCCAGCACTGAGGAAAAATTCTCAAAGGAATGATAGGACAACTGAATGTGTAAGTTGCACAAAAACACCAAAAACTGAAAAAACAGACAACTGTATAAATGGGCAGAAAAAAACCAAAAAACCTGAAAAAAGTTAGGTGGAGCTCTTTGCTAAAATTTCCCTAAATAGAAAAGGAATGGAGGAAATACAATGAAAATATCCCCAGGGTAATTTTATTTTATTTTTTTAAAAGATGGGAATATTTGAAAGTAAGTCCCCAGGCTAGACTCAGGAAAAGTAAACATTTTCTGGATTTTTGTTTGTTGGTTGGTTTGTTTAAACAATGCTATGTAAAAGTGCAGAATTAGTCCTGAAAGTATGAATATCTGAGCTGGATAGGGAAGAGGAAGAAAATCTGCCTGTATGGCCAAAATTCAGAGTGACTCATGTAATACCTCTGTTTTCTGAAGACTGGATATGTAGAGTATGACATAGCTCTACTCAGTAATGCTCTTAAATCCCAAAATACACATCTGCCTTAGTTGCTTCCCTGAGTTTTAGTCAGCTAATGTCATCTTAATGAGTTAAAACTAGGAAGAGTCATTTGCCAGTATTTAGAATTCTGTAGCTACAAAAGTGTTTTCTTATAACTAAATATGTCTTAAATTTTTCAATAATCATGTAAAGATATTTGAAAAATCTCAGTATAATTTTTGACAGCAATGATTTAGAATTTAGCAGGCACACCTATAATTAAATCTTTTTTTGAGGAACTTTAGAAAAATTTTAAAACAGTTACATACACACCCCAATACAATTTGCAAGTACAACTAGTTTTGTTACACTGTTGAATATAGTTATGTGTACCTGAATTTCAAAATATTATAACTTACTTAAAATATAAAATATGATATGAATGTATTGTGGAGTCATGTTTCCTAAAATCTAATTAATACATATAATTTAAAATAATTGATTATCATATTTAATCTTTAAAATCAATTTCAATTTTCAATTCTCGTTGTAGCTATTATCTATTATACAGCATCTGCACATTAAAATCAACTGGAAGATAGCCAAAGTAAACTTTTAATGACAACATAGTAATTGAGAATGGCTATTTAGTTTATTTTTATTAGAAAACTCAGTCCTGGACTATAATGGGGAAAGGTATAAAAATATAATTAAGAAATATAATTACATAATTTTCTAAATATTTTACTTTTCCAAATGTCTGGATCTTTCAAACTTCATTGTTTGTGTTACTCTATGTACAAAAATTTATATAATATTAATTGCATTTAATTAATTTAAAACTTTTGTTTTAAATAGGGACATATTGGAGACTAGGAATTACTTATTACTTCTAAATAAAATTTCTGATAATTCTTATTTCTAATGATGGAATTGTGATAATTTTAACATTTGATGATTAAAATTATGCTTATTTAAAAATATTAATGCTATTTAAAATAGAAAAAGAATGTGAAGTCTCTATAAACAAAACTATGTCCTTATAGAAAAGAGAATATTCTCTCTTGACTATTCTGTTATTGTAGATTTTATTTTAAATTTTTGGTCTCTTTCTAGATCATAACCTTCTCTTTTTTCTGGCTTCACAATTAAAACACAGTTCCATAAATGTCTTATATTATTATCAGCTACTATTAATCATCAAGTTAATGTCAGCTGTAAATAATCTGATTTGGAGCAAATTTCAAATAGGAAAATTTACTACACTTACTTTTCCCAGAAAATTTTAGACAGAAAAATGATAATATCTCTATATTAAAACTTTCAGTTTGCTCTGTTTAAATTTACATTATTAACCTCAGAAAATTTCCATCTATCATGTGACATTTGTAACTTGAAAGATACTGTGACCCTAGAGGTATACTTTCTTCTTAGAGAAGTTAAAGCCACATTGTTGTTTTTCTAAATCTTTTGAGCTTCTCTGATAAAACACAGGGTTAAGGACTTCATTTTCTAGGTAAGTCTATATTTACAGTAACTAAAAAAGAAATTGAGAAGCCCAAGCTTACCAGTACAGTGTCTGAATGTCCAGTTCTAGACAAAGTATTAAAATCAGAGATCTGTGAAATTCTGGAAGCCTATGAGCAGAGACAAATGCACGGACAAAGCCACAGACCTACGTAAGACTCACAGAGCTGGAGGTTGTGAGGAGCAATATGGGAGATATCCTTGGTGAAATCTACAGGTGCATGAAAGACAGCCGATGTTACAGGGGAAGAATGAGAGGAAACATCTATACATGGAGTATTAAGAAGTATTGCATTTGCCAACTTGTCATAGAGTGTGTTTTGAAAATTAGAAAACATTTTATTTTGCCATCAAGAGTTGGAAAGTAACAGAAAATAAGAGTCTAAAAATAGAGAAAAACTAAAATGCAAAGTCTTGAAAGATGAAGATTATGTCTCTGAATTTGGCCTCAGAACATTGAATGAGTGCCTGTGTCGATGTGTGTGCATACTTGGAGTTTGTTCATTATCGATAGCTATCACCTTAAAACCTTTGCAACGCATAGGCAGAAAGTTTGCATGTCTGTGTTCTTGTGGGTTCAGGTTACTGTCCCACATGGGGCCGACACAAAGGTGACATGACAGGTCAGTTAGGAATGTCTTGGGGATTTCCACACTGTGTTCTTCTAAAAGATCCCCCAAGAGGAATTAATATGAACTCATTTTCTTTTCACACTGTTAATTCTAAGAATCCTTTTGGCAGTGCAAAGGGAATGAAATTGGCAAAAGACATTTTTCTACACTCATTTTGCTCCAATAGAATTATGCTGATGTTTTTCAGTCATAGAATTTGACTCAAAGCTAATTCTGTTCATTTAGTTTTGCTTCAAAAGTTAAACCTAAGGACAATGCCATCCCTATACCATTTCATGCTGTACAATCCCATGCAGAGTCATATTCCTATTTGTTCTTATTAAACATTTATACATGATTCTCTACCTTGAGAATTCTTAAATGTACCTCTTTGTATCTTGAACATAGTTGAGAACAAAAGTTTTGAAAAATCTCCTATGCCTCATCATTTTCTTATCTGAGTGTATGTTAACATTTTTATACCTTGTGGAACAGGTGTTTCATGCTCATATGCATCAGTGAAATCATACGCAAAATAGTAAGAAACTCCTCATACCAGACATATTGGGTTGGGGGAGTAACGGGAGCAAATAACATCTCTTTTAGGTAAATTTTGGCTGTTTATTTAAAAATCCATAAAAACAGAGGTTTGTTCAAAATTTTAAATTAGATATTTTATACTAAATATTTTCAATAGCATTGAAAATGATCTGATATTTCTGGTAGACCAACAACAACAAAAAGACTTGAATGAAGCCGAAATGTTGCTGAAATAGAACTTAATCATCACTTGGGACATTTCCTCACCAGGGATTTTGCTTTGACTGACCAATTTCAATCCACAGTAACAGCTTTGTTCCTAAGAGACTATAAATCAAAGAAACACTCACTCAGGGGCAATTGCTAGTGCAAATCAAAGTCTTTGCTATTATCATAGGGCAACCGACAGCAAACATCCGCGACAATTATTGAAGTACGTTTGTATGGGGTGTGTGGTGTTTTTGGTTTCGCTCTTCTCTGGCACCTATCTGTTTGTGAAAAAAAATAGTGCAATAAAAGAGGTTTTACCGCCACGTACTAGCCGCGCTTGAGCTCAGTGTGGAGACTTCTTTTCTTTCCCTGAATTCTGAGGCGGGGGAGCACAATGGGGGTGTTGTGCTCTGGCTAGCCAGGAATGCATGATACCCACTCGGAAAGGAGGTGTGAGCAGCTTCCAATACGTACACTGTTTGCTCCACAACTTCTCTGAACTAAACCAAACAGTGTACTGAGACACTTAGTACAGAATAAGCAAGAACAAAATTCACTAGCTGCTGTGACCTACATATGGAACAGAGTACTTTAATTTAAAGGAATATATATGTGGGTGCATTAAGAGTTAAATCATTTACAAGGCTTCAGAATGAATACCTTACAATTTATATGAGGCCGCTTTTCCCTGTAGTTCTCTTTACATGTGTCAAAGTGCAAATCATAAAAGGATCCATTGTTTATAGGCGAGGAAAGGTAGTTAGCTAATGAATACTATCTACAACAGCAAGCCATCACAGTTTGTTAAAACAATACATAGTTACTTAAAATCCCTAGATATATCTGTAATTTTTAAATCGTACAATATCTGGAACCTGAATTCACAGAAACAACCCTTTCTCTGACTCTGTTTAGTGGAAGTGTGTGTCTGTGTGCGCATACATATCTGTGTGTGTTTTTCCTTTTTAAATTCAGAACACGATCAATGCAAATCTTGCAGTTTAAGTTTTGCTCTAACTTATTTTTATGCTGTGCTTTCAAAAAGGAAAAAAGCTTACCTCTGACAGTCAAGTGGGATGCCGGGAAGCCCCTTCTCAGCTTCAGCCTCAGAGTGTAAGCGGATGCCCTCTGAGCCAACAATCTGTTAACAGGAAGCAGGTAAACCCGAGAGCGTCCGCCCGCGTTCCAGTCCAGTGCCCACTGGAGCACACACCTGCTTTCTCAGACCTGCTGCTCGGATGCAACAGCCACGCACAGTTCCGTTGCTAGCAGAGAGCAACACCCTCATTTGGGATCACTGGTTTCCAGGATAAGCAAATAGGGAGCTGCTGAGATAATCCTGGAGGAAAGGCTTGCCTTCCAATGACAAGAATCCTTTTCTGCTCCTGATAGCAGATATGCAGCATTATCACCCTGCATTCCACTTTCTCCAGTCAGATAACTGCGAGCAACAGCATGCAACAGCTTGTGGAAAGGGCAGTTTGCAGGCATGTGTGGCTATAATAGTTGTATGTTAACATACCCATTGCTTCTCTCCTCTCTGAATAAATTCTTTAAAATGTTTCTTCCAGGGTAAAGCTCAGCAGAATATACCACACTGTTTTCCATAAGTAAAATGGCTGGTCCTCTCGGCACTGTTGCAGACAGCTCATTGGGTTCCACTGGCTTTTCGTAGCCATAGCAACAACCAACAGACAGACTTACACAGCAAGCATGGCTGATCATGTGCAGTGCGCGACTCAGCTTGTTAATTTCTTTTCATCAAACTCATCATTTTTTGAGGAGAGTAGCTTCTGTTACCTTTCCAAATATTTCACCGATAGCACAAGTGCTCTAATTTTTTTGGCTTTGCCGAGGAACTTTTGTTGTATGAGCCAGTGCTGCGTGTAAAATCAAGAAGTGGAGCTGTGTTTGCATCTATCCAGGTTAATAATATGCAAATCACAGGACAGACACTAATTGGAATCATTGTCGAAACAGGTTCTACCTTCCAGTCACAGAATCAGTGGAAAGCAGATTGGCAAATGGGGGCAATTGAGCTTTTTTGCTTTTAAATGCTAATCTTGTCATCATTTAACTAAAATAAAGTCCCATGAATTTTTATATGTGGTCCAAATATAACAGAATCAGATAGGACATCTCAGTAAGATTTTGAAATATCTACTTATGGATTATATTTATCTAATTATTGTAATATATTACACAGCCTAAAATAAAATTTTAAAAATTTTCTATTTGTTCTCCTACAGGAAATGATTTTTAACTCAGTGATTATTTGCAATTTAAAATCTTTTCAAAAAAACAAGACCAAATGAAAAAAGCTTTGACTTTACAAATTACAGTACCTTCAAGGCAAGCATAGTTTAATGTTCTCAGTAAGATCAGTCACATTCCACCCTTCCTTAAAGTTTCACCTCCTCAGGGAATCTTTCATGATTAATACTGTTAACAGCTTAAACCCTCTGCAAAACCCCAGCCTTTTCTTGTATTTAAATACTGTCACTATTCTATTTGATGTGTGTTTCCATTTGTTTTTGTTTCTAGCAATCTGTCTGAAGTAGTATGTTAACACTTTGGATTTATAAATATAGGTGTTTGTTTTGCTAATATTTTGTAAGTGTTGCGTTTCCTCACCAAAATTAACACTAAATTGAGTGTGCATAGAAATCCTGTGCATGCAGATTCTGAGATCTCATCTCTCATCCCTGCCTGTCCAGATGCACATTTGGCAGGTTTGAACCAGCTTAGGAACATCCTGCCTACTAAGAACGGAGGGCTGTTCCTGCTTGCTGGAGTCCTCACCATTTCCATCACTTCCTGTGGTCTGATGTCTACTTGGCTTTTCTCACAGAAGTTACCCCCCATAACTTATTTCCTTGCTGTTCCTGAACGTGCCCCTATCCTCACCTCAAGCCTCATAGCCTACCCTTCACTTCTCAAACTGCACACTCTGAAATTGCATACTGTTTCATAATTCCTTGTCTTGCAGATGTCTCTGCTTTCTGACAGGTGCTCACCTGACCCCACCCAGTACCTTTTTACCTCCATTCCAAGCTGTCTCTTGCTGTAGCTTTCCACACTTGGCTCAAATAGACCACCTCACTAGTGACGCTCCCAGGATTACAGTGGCCACCTCTGTGCTGCCAGTGTTCCTGAGATCTCTCTCCTGTTACAGGACTTGTCATACCCTGTTCACTTATTAGCAGTTTTCCTTTGATATCTGACTCCCAGACTGCTCTGTTACCTGCTGGGAAGCTAGTCTGGTTTATATCTTATTTCTTTTCCATATATGGTATAACATCTCAATACATTTTTTTGAGACAACTATGTTGTCCGGGCTGTTCTCCAACTCCTGGACTCAAGTGATTCTCCTGCCACAACCCCCAAAGTATTTGGGAAGATAGAAATGGGTCACAATGCCAGGATCTCTTAATACATTTTGAATGAGAACCTACAACACTTTATAAAGAGGTACTGCATACCTGGATAGTGTGGAGGCTATGTTTTAGCATTTTTTTCCGTGTTATCCATTTGTTGAGTTCTTGTCCCCTCTGAAAAACTCAAGTGATTTTTTTAAAAAATGGACACATTACAAGAAGATATCAGGAAACATTCTAAGGTCATTTGTGTTTAAGAATGGTTTTTTATACACTGCATTTCTGAAAATATCTTTATTTTACCCACACATCTGATTATTTGGCTAGAATGTTTGGAAGAATTTTCCTTTTAAATTCCAAAAGCTTTCTTCTTTTACATTCTAATCTGGGTCCATAACACCCTTAATGCTCCCTCCTCTAAGGAGGACTGAGACAGACCCCACCTGCACTAGACCTGGCTGTGGGAAGCTGGGGGAAACTGAGACGCAGCCTTGTCTGTCTGCATTCCCATGGGATTCCTCATGGCCTCTCATTGACTGGTGACCAGCCATCCCTTTGTGTTCACAGGACTTGGTTCCATGACAACTCCCTCTGCCCCTTACAAAATTCTCAGATACTGAAGTCCTCCGCATACAGTAGGGTAGCATCTGCATATAACCTACAAACTTACCCAATAACAATCTCCGGATTACTTATTTCTCATGAAATATGAATGTCATGTAAATGGCTGCTATACTACATCATTTAGAGAATAATAACAAGAAAAAGTTACACATATTCATTGCAAGCATTATGCTTGTTTCTGAATATTTTCAATCCATGGTTGGAGGGATCCACGGGTGCTGAAGCCACGGAGAGGAGGGTTGACCGTGTGCCACTCTGTTCTTTAAGTGCTCTGGCCTTTTCACCTGCCCAAGACCTGCCTTGCCCTCATAACGCTGTCCTCCATGGCACATCGGGGTCCCACCAGTCGGCCAGCTCAGCTCTACCTAAATCCTGACTTTTATTCTTCTTTTGAAATGTTTGTTATAAATGTGAGTTCCTAAGAGGTAAGTAGGATCTGCCCAGCTCATCTGTCTGAGTCAGATGAGGCATTTCATGAGTCATCAGCAGCTTTTACCTTACAGGCCTGTGCCTTGGGCAAATTAGCCACGGTAGGGACACTGGGATTATGTAGGGTTTTTTCCTTCCAATATGATGGCTGCAGAGTAATAGGGTTTTTTTTTTTTTTTTTTGCTTTTAATTTTCAATTCTCTAATAACTGACAAAATTAAATATCTCAGTGGTGTTTTGGGTAACCTACTCTTTATTATCTACTGGAATATTGTCTTAGTGTGGACTTTCAAACAAAATGATCATAAATAGTATTTGTGTTTTCAACGTTTTTAAACATTTAAAAATTATAATTAAATTTGTTACATGATTTAAAGTTAATGAGATACTCATTGATATACAAAGGGAGCTCTATGATTCACACTGCTAATTGTTTTTGTTTTTATTATGAGATAAAAATGCAGAATGGGAGAAAAAAATCTCCAGTATGCTATAATACCATTTTCAAAGCAAAGTATTTATTCTTTTAAGAATCAAATTATACAATCCACACACAAAGCTACCTGCATTTACCAATTATCATCTATCTAAGGTAAGTACAAATGTGCAAAGTACTAATACCTGGTAAATCTTAGATGAAGGATAGTTTATTTTACTATTCTTTCCACTTTTTTGTAAGTTCAATGTTTTTTGTTTGCAAGATAAACATTTTAAATGAGAATAAAATATAATGTTAAATATACATAAATTTAAGATCAAAATTTCTTGATAAGGGAATAAGTATTAAAAGTTATAAGTAAAGAAATTGATAAAATTGGGCTGGGGATTTAGCTCAGCAGTGTAAGCACCTGCTTGGTGAGCACAAAGTCCTGAGTTCAATCCCTGGCACAAAAAAAAAAAAAAAAAAAGAAAGAAAGAAAGAAGTTGATAAACCATGAAGTAACTAAAGGGGTTATTATTGTTGTTAAGAGACTGTTTAGGTAGAGAGTATTGGAAACATTTTGTATTTTCTTGAGAAGGGTTTGCAATTCCTACATTAGTGCCTTTTTGTATCCTGATTCTAAGCCATGCATCCTTTGATTCCCAATCTTTCTCAACCTGGTTCCTTTGTCGCTGTAAAAATTTAACAAGCTCATCTTGCTTAAATCAACATGTTCTTCAGTTACACTTTTCCCTAGAGCTTCTATAGCTGGTGCCTACCAAGGGACCTGACCTCTGGTACAGCAAAGAAAGTCATTGTGAGTCTCAGAGAATAAAATCTGAGCTCGGTTTAATGAGGTAGCACAGACTCTCATAAAGTTTAGACCGAATTTCCTAACTGCAAGCAACAAATAAAACAGTGTCCCAAAGATTTTTCTAAACTGCTATACATTTATTTTCACAGTCATACAACGTGTTTCTAGGGGGAAGATGACAGGAAGGAAATGTGAGGACCATCTTGGACAGGGTTAGAAAGATGGAGTATCTGAGGAGAGCAAAGTGGATTTATCGCTAGGGTTTCATCCCCCAAGAACTACACTGTAGGAAGGAGACTGGCCCACAAGCCAGTAGTCACCTTCTTTCATATTGGGCTGACGAAGCCTGATACTAATTAGTATTCAAAACGACCTTGATACATCAGAGAAACTTGAAATCAAAACAAACCTGGTAGGGTGAAGTGTTCATGGAAATCCACTTACTGAATGAATTAAAAATGAGAAAACGATTATAGAAGAACAAAACCTTATCAGAAGGAAAAATGGTAAGAACATAAATGTCAGACATAAGAGATTGGTTATTTTTTAAAAATTGTATATAAGATAAAACTTACTACCACAAAACTATCATATATAAACCATAAAAGAAAATTCCACTAGTGGTTATCAGAACACTGGGCCTAGAAGTTCTATATCCTCTTTAGGTTAAGAGGAATCGTGAAAAAGTCGTGAGAGGGACAGGAAGAAGTTTGGTCAGTTCTAAATCTGGAGAATCTGCTCTTTTCTGGTCAATAATAACATCGTTGTTTAAATATGACAGGTAGATCAAGCTTTGGGTTTGCAAATGACTATGACTGCAGGAGTTTAAAGAACTTCTTCATTTTAGAATATCCATAAGTAAGTCAGTACTACGTGGGGGAAAACAGTGATTATCTGGCAACAAAAACTAACTCACAATCAAACCATCTACTCACCTACCCACTTCCAGACTGGAAAACTAACCCCGAACACAAGTTTTTGTTGCTGTCCCAGTAAAGAAAAGCACTCCCGGTTTGGGG